TTTTTTAAATAAAAAAGACCCCAAAAAAACAAAAAAAAAAAAGGAAAGAAAAAAAAAAAAGGAAGAGAGGAGAGGAGAAACTGACGGGAGATATATACTTATTTAAAGAATTCAGAGGAACTGGACACGCAGCTGGGAAGTTCACAGGTTTTTGAAACTGAGCTTTTTTTTTTTGTTTGTTTGTTTGGTTTTTTTTTCCTGCGAAGTTCACTTTAATACAAGAAATTTGATAAGAGAGGCGGGCCTCCTTTCACCCTGCATCAGGTACTTGAGTTTAACAACCACGTCTGGGATGGCGACAAAAAGAAGAAAAAAAGGGGAAAAAAAAAAAAAAGAAAAAAAAAAAAAGGGAGAAAAATGACGAAGAAGAAAAAGGGGAAAAAAATAATAAATAGGAAAAGAGACAATGATTTCTCTGCGAATTTCTAATGGGAAACTGTCCGGGATACTTCCTCCAGCAGCATTCCGGGTTGCATGTATTTGTATTTCATTGATGGAGTCCTTTGATTCACTTGCACTTCACCCTCATCGTTAGTAGAAAAACAAACCAAACCGAGCAAACCGTGGCTGGGTTCTGTCTCTTTTCATCTCGGAGGGAAGCAGGAGGAGAGAGGGGAGATCAAGCACCACCTTTCCCGCTCTCAAATCTTTGTTGGTCGTTTTGCTGTCCCACCTCTGAAATAAAAGGCAGCGGCGGGTGCCTCCCTGTGCTGGGGCTCTCTTGTCCTGAGGGCAAAACCAACAGCAAAAAAAAAAAAGGAAAAGAAATTAAAAAGCGAGTATTTAATCCCCAACCACCACTCCACACCACGGCAAAGTCCAATAAGAGGTACTGGCTACATGTAAAATATGTTGATACACACGAACAAAGTTTATTTTGGCTATGACTCGTGAATTGATAGTAGACTTGTCAAAGCGTTTGCATCTTATCTCATAAAGGTGTATCTATTCACGTAACCTTGTGATCTATCATTTCTGTTTGTTTGCTATGGTTATGATTTGAGAGACGTGAAGCTATTTCAGCTGGGGTACCCGGCGGTGGGTGATCCCAGTTTGCCAGCAGCCCCTCGTGCTTCTTGCCAAGAGGGAGGGAAAGCTCTTCTACGCGGACTTCGGCACGGACGGGCTTTGTATCTATTTGTTCTCCATGAAAACGAAATTATTTATATTGACCATATTTTTTCTAGTGTATTTTAAGTTATTTTAAAAAAGGGGGGGGAAAAAAGAAATACAAAAAAAAAAAAAAAAAAAGGGGGGGGGGGAAAAAAAAAGATGCTGTGATTACGTTTGTTGTCAGTACAATATATTTTGTTTCACTCAGGTTTGCTTCACCTTTTTTTTTTAAATCCATTTTCGACGTCACGGATTCTCAATAAGTGCCAAGTAATGAATTTAAGACACTTTGCGACCTATTGACTGAGAAGGGTAACGTTTCAGCCGGCGGTTCCCCGTCCCCTCGGGTACTGCTCCTATCAAACCACGGGTGTTTTTTGTGCTCCTTCCCTGTGTTTCCCCCTCCCGCAGAGCCCGCACGTCCCTCCCCGCGCATCTTCCGCTCCCTCTTCGCCTCCGTTTCGATTTGGCTTTTTCCTTTTTGTTGTGTTTGGTTTTTTTTTTCATGAAGAAGGACACAAAAAAAAACCAAAAAGAGCAAACCCAACTAGACCGGTGGGAGTTCCATAAGCAATTGTGTCTTTACAAGTTCTGTCAAGTTCCCTCAGGTAATAAAATCGAGGAAAGCGTAAACGGCTCGAGATATTTTCCAGGGATTTCGCACCTCCCGCCACCATCTCTCTCTCTGCGTGCCCGGGAAAGCTCCGGGCAGAGCCCCGGGCACGTCCTGCCTGCCCCGCAGGGTCCCACCCGGCTCCCGCTTCTCCCCGTC